TGCCCTGGTCCCGCAGTGGACATTTCCAAGATGACCCTACGAAACGGAGATTTTTATTTCCCTTTTATATACAGAGAACCGAGGCTCAGTGCGTTGAATGCCTCAGCTACGGCTGGAAACGTTGACTCTATGATGCCAACACGGAGAAGTCCCATTGTCTCAGTGATGGCATTTGTGAGCCAGGCGCAGGGCAAGAAAACGAACTCTGATCCAACATCTTCTGGGGGCCGGGCAGACCGCCTGGCGTGTCATGTACGCTACCTCACCTGGTTCTCAAAACAAGTCGGGAGCAGCTACCAGAAGAATCTGGGTGGTCTGCTCCAGGTTGAAAATGCAGGCTTGGAGACAGCCACGTGGGTCCAGCCCCACCTCTGCAGCTTGTAGCTGTGCGGCTGTTCTGGCAGGCCACTGACCTTCTCCAAGCCTCGGTCTTCACATCTGAAAATGAGGTCCATAAGGGTAGGTGCTTAGTGAATATCGACAGTGTTGATTCCGAATCGGTCATCCTGCCCTCCAACGATCCTGACGAATCAGTTGCATCTGGTTGGGGAACAAATCTAGTTGGGGAACTAGAAGGAACCTTGGAAGATTTCCTAGGTCAATGGCTTTCAAGCTTTCTTCCTCAGAAGAGAGGACCTCGGCTTCCACGGAAATCCTGGGTGGATGAGAGAAAGCTGACCATGTGGGGCTCCCGCCCGCCTTCTTTAGCGAGCACCTCTTTCTTAATGTGAGCCACGTTATCATTTGCATGCTTTTAGCTCTTTTATATATTGGGCATTGAGCTAGGATTTCATTTGACAAAAATGGTCTCACTGCCTTTTTTTTTTTTTTTTTTAAGTTGCCAAAGCTAGAACTCCTATCCTCTAGTTCCTAGTCTGGTGTTTTTACTGTACTCACTAAAAGAGGGAACTGAAATATGATACATTTTAGAAAGGTTATCATCACTGAAGATCAAATTAAAGCATATTTTCGGGCCTTCCAGTTAATCGGCAATTCATTTAGTCTAAACTCCTGTCCCAGGATCCCAGGAACAGAAATTTTGCTGTTGGAGAAAACATTACTATCCTAGCCTTAAATACGAACTGTCTGTTAGGACTCTCTGCAGTGATGGAGATGTTCTCTATCTGCACTGTCCAATATGATAGCTAGTGTGACTGAGGAACTGAGTTTAAATGTGATTGAATTTCAGTTGATTTAAATGTAGAGAGCCACATGTGGCTGCCATTTTGGACGGCACAGCCTTACAGTATAGAGCAGGGATCAGATGGCAGTCTCTGGCCCCTTGGCATCAGAATCACCCAGAGAACTTGTCACAAGTACAGATTCTGGGCTTAACGCCCAGCAACTGATTCAGTATGTCTGGGGCGAGTGCATTTTAAAACTCATCAGGCCATTCTAACTTGCAGTCGGGTAGGAAACTGCTGTGTTTTTGAGATCTTCCTTGACACGAAGAGCAATGCCAAAATCAGGCATTAACCCTGGTCTTGATCTTCTGGAGAGACTATGGTAACTTTCTGGGGAACGTCAGACCCTTAAAAATTATGATGGAAGCTGTGGACCTCTTCTCTGGAAAAATACAAACTGCATGTAGTTTCTGCGGTTCACAGACCATCCTGAAGCTGTCCTTGAAGCCACATTAAGAATTCCCCAACTCGGCTGGGGCGCCTGGGTGGCTCAGTCGGTTAAGCAGCCAACTTCAGCTCAGGTCATAATCTCACAGGTCGTGGGTTTGAGCCCCACGTCGGGTCTGATACTGAATAAATTCCACGCCTTTCTTTCCCCTTTTGTTCGTGGCCTTGTCAGTGAGCTGAGTGGGTGTGGCTATTGCCAGGGCCCACGTCTTCAGCCCTGCGAGAGAGCAGAGGGGCAGAATGCATTTGAGACCTGAGTGGAGCTGGGGAGGGCGTCCAGACTTAGTAATGGATCAGGATTTTGAGACGCCTTCAAAGGCAGAGGCGCAGCTGGCCCCCACTCAGTCTTCACCCCACAAGCTGCGGGAGAGAGAAGGGGCAAGGCTGTAGGGCAGCGGTCCGGGGCAACAAGCCCAGGGCTGGAAATGCCACCCGGCCATCAGTCCCAGGCTTCATGAGAACCCCGGTTTTTTGTAGGCCAGGCCCCTTACAGAAGTGGGGAAGGAGGCGGGGGGAGGGGGGGCAGCAAGCGTGTGTGAATGTGTAGGAGACCTGCCGTCAGGCCAGAGTATCCTGAGAATAGCTTCTTGAACTTGGAGGCTGTCAGCGAGGGTCTGAGTCACGGTCACATGGCACAGGAGAAGCCGTACAGCTCCCAGGCCGTGATTTTGTGGCCCTGGGAGGTGAGGGTCAGCCTGTTTTCCCGTGCCCTTCACAGGTTCAGCTGCCAGCTGCTGGGTTAGTTTCTCAACGGCCTGCTTGTTCCTCTCTCTGCCTGCCAGGCTGTGGGATGAGTCATCAGGGAACTGCAGAGGAGGCCCTTAGCCCGGCTGCCTCAGCCTCAGCTTCTCTGGGCCTGGGGAGCCCAGCATGCTCATGGAGGGGGATCAGAGCCCCTGGCCAGCGGCCCAGCTAACCCCCAACGTGAAAGGACGGCTCCTGGGGGAGAGGGGCCACCCCCCAGCCTCTCTGGAGGGCTCTAGCTCACGATGAGCCATGTCAGACAGAGACAGCCCCGTGAGCCCAACGCAGCCAGTTCTCAAATAGCTGGGTGCCCCTGCAGCAACCACTGACAGCTTGGCCTCATTTGTCTCACTCCTCAGATGGAACTTTCTCTTTATCCCTGGTGCCCGGGATCATCCTGTCTCTGAGGGTCATCCTCCGATTCCCCCATTCAGCCAACATCGATCGTCTCGTCTATGCCCCGCCGTGCTATACTCTGAGGGCACCATTCCTGCCCTCAGGAGCCTTCTGACCAGGCAGGGCCGTGAGTTTCCCCCTTGAGTTTGCCTGTAGCGCAGGAGACTTGGGGAGGGGGCAGTACAGCCTGGAGCTGGAGGTTCCAGGCTGTGGTCCTGCAGTGCCACACGAGGCTGGGTGACCTTGGGCGAGTCTCCACCTGGTTTGCATCAGTTTCTTCAAGTGAGAATGAGATTAAAGCACTGCTGAGGTCCCTGCAGGCACACCTCTAGTGGTGTTAGGTCCGGAGGGCTTGGGGTTCGTTTTTTGTTTGTTCGTTTGAATGTTTGTTTGTTTGTTTGTTTGTTCTTGAGAGACAGAGCATGAGCAAGGGAGGGGCAGAGAGGGAGGGAGACACAGCATCTGAAGCAGGTTCCAGACTCCGAGCTGTCAGCACAGAGCCCGATGCAGGGCTCGAACTCACAAACTGGGAGATCGTGACCTGAGCCGAAGACAGACGCTTAACCGACTGAGCCACCCAAGTGCCACGGGGTTTGTTTCTAAGACCCCATTTTCCCTGGTAAAGAGGCTGAGATAGGTAGGCACTTGGAAGTCAGAACACCCCTTAGACTTCTTAAGGTCATCAGGTAACAACAAGACCTCCCATGCAGCCTCCTCAGCATCCGAATTCGGGGTCACACCCAAGCATCTGTGCTGAAAGCTGGAGCTGCTCTGACTTCAAAGCCAGCAGACCCTTGAAGGCAGAGATGAAAGGATCAAGTTAGTAGTGACCAACAAGCCCATCCCACCCTCACCCTCCCGCTCAGTGGAGCTGGTTCAGTGCTTTGTGGCCATTGCAGGGAGGCAGACTCCAGAGGAAGAGGGCTTCGGCCTTGAGATGCCCAGCCCCCCACCGTCCCATGTCAGCTTCTAGCCACCCAGGGCAAAGGGCCAGCGGTGTAGAGGTTCACCTTCACACGGCCTGCCTTTCTGCCCCACAAGCACATGGAGGCGTGTTCCAGAATGAGCGCACTTACAGCAGGGAACACTCCCGTCTGTTAGCAACAGCTTTAGACCAACCTGCCAGCAGAGAGCACTTAATTAAAAACCTGTCTGAATGTGATGCCTTCTCAGGCTTGGTCTAAAGCAAATCGTGACCCAGGAGGGACCTACGCTTTGGGAGTCCACAGTCCTAGTCTTTAAAAAGGTTCCCAGATGGGAGCAATCCCAGATCGGCGCAGATCTCTTTCCTGACAGTTCTAGTCCACATGCCGTTTGCACAGATTGCCTCAGCGCCGGGCTCCCACCCCTTTGGGGCTTCCAGGGAACACACAGGGCCGCTGGAGAGAGAGCCCAGAGAGTTGAAGCCCTGTGCTTTGTCTTCAGATTTCTAGAGGTACAGGTTGGCGTTGGGGGCTCTAATACAAATTCTACTACTAATGTTGCCTGGAAGAATGAGAATACATAAGTTGTCGGCAAATGAGTATTACAGATGGAAGCATGGCAGTTCCTTCTGGAAGGCCACAGACAGATGTGTCCTGGGAAAGGAGTCGAGTGCAGGCGCTGTCATTTGCGTGCTGATTTTTAGACTTTGTAACATTTCGTGTGTGTGTGTGTGTGTGTGAGATGCATATATGCACACATAAATCTGTATACACACACGCACATACATTTATCTACCTCCTGCAAGAGAATAAAAACTTAATTCTCCCCATTTGGAAAAGAGCCATCGTGGCCAGTGTAGACATGTCCTCTAAGAAGGCAAGTCAGTGGGGTGACTGGCAGTTTTGGAGTATGGAATGTACCACCGTGTTCTGAGGGAGCAAAATTCACCATAAAATGAACCACAGAAAACGATTCGGCCAGTATTTGTAAAAGCAAGAATGAACCAATCCCAGATGTCGGTGCCGTGGTGGTTCTGGAGGAAGTGGGCTGGAATCCTCCTTGTGGGCCGAGTGGGGGAGTCTGTTTGTGGTGGTGTGCTGACAGGACCAGGGGTGGGGGCCTGTGCCACAAGGAACAAGAAAGGTTGACTCCTTCGTCACTTGGGCTGTTTGGAAGGTAAATGTATGAGGCAGAGAGCCTTTCCCCCCGCTTTTCTCCTCCCACCCAGCCTGGCCCGGGTCCCCGTGGGATCCGAGAGTGACCTGCTCTGCATCTGGTCCCTCAGGGCGAGCGTGAGCCTGGGAGATGGCAGTGATGGAAATGGCCTGCCCAGGCGCCCCTGGTTCGGCGGCCGGGCAGAAGGAGCTCGCCAAGGCCAAGGAGAAGACACAGGCGATGGGCAAGAAGCAAAACCCCGCCAACAAGCTCGAGGCCGTAGAGAAGAGCCCTGTGTTCTGCGGGAAGTGGGATATCCTGAACGACGTGATCACCAAAGGCACAGCCAAGGAAGGCTCCGAGGGAGGACTGGCCGCCATCTCCATCATCGCGCAGGCCGAATGTAAGGGCCCGGGCTGGGGACAGAGAGGGCAGGTGGGCGGGCCTACAGGTGGGCACGGTCCCCGCACCAGGGTGGCACGGCGCAGGGGTGGGAGGTCAGGGCAGCGGCTCTCTGAGATTTTCACAAGACACAGCCTGGGGGGTAGGCCAAGAATGAGTCGAAGCAGGAGCCATAACGGTGCCGGGGAACAGAGCACAGAAGGGAGGAGTGGTGCAGGGAGGCTTTTGCCCGTCACGACCGGAGCAGGGGAAGAGAGCTGGGAGGCTTCACAGGTCCTAGGGCTCTTGGCAGGATCGTCAAGCAAGCCATTAGCCTTGTGCTGTGACCTTGGGCAGCCTGAGCATCTCTGGAGAGGCCCCAGACAGGAAAGGCCAGGTCTCCTGGAAAGCCCCTCTGGGGCCTGTAGGCCCTTCACCACCTTCCATGCTGAGGTGGCCCCACCCTAGAGAATGAACACCTCCTCTTGGGCCTGCTGAGCCAGTTGAGGGGACATAGGCCATTCCAGGGCGGGGCCTGGTCTGGTCCTTTCTGCTTCCACCCAAGATACTTCAAAATGACTCTGCCTGGTGACTGCCACCAGAGCCTGAGAAACCCCCAGGTGCCTGGGTGAGGCCAGAAGCCCTCCTCTCTCTCCCCCCTGCCCTCCAAGAGGCTTTCTCAGGGGAGAGCCCGGCAGCTCGTGGTGGCATTTTCCCACCTATACACATCTTGCCCTGAGTTCCGCTTCCTTCTGGCTGGTTTTTGAGAAGCGATGAGAGAATACAAATTAAAATGGAGTGAGCGAGATGCCCGTGGTCATAATACACGCATTTACACACATAACAGACGTCCACAAGAGCTGATACTTACTGAACTGTTACTACGTGCCGGGCACTCCGTTGGGTGTGTTATATGTTATATAGATCATCTCAGTTAAGGGCCACGGTGAAGTGAGGTGGGCACCTTTATCACCCGCTATTATCAGCATGCCCTTTGCTCTTGTTGGCGGGGGGGTGGGCCGGCAGGCAGGTGGTGAGGCCGAGGCACGGCAGCCCAAGAGGGTATCTGTAAAATGTCTGTCTCCTCAGTGCCGAGTCCCTCTTCTTCCTCTCCTCCTTTCTGCCTGTCCAACCTCTCTTTTCCTTGACTCACAAGGTGAGAACAGCCAAGAGTTCAGCCCTACCTTTTCAGAGCGGATTTTCATCGCCGGGTCTAAACAGTACAGGTAAGGAGGCCAGCTTGCATGGGGCCCAGGGAACTGAAACCGCGTCATCCCTCCTCCCCCAGCTGCTCGCTCAGGCCGCTCCCAAGTGACCCCTGGCTCCCTCCTCCAGCACCTGTGGTTCAGCTCTTGGAGCCCGCCCAGGTTTTCCTGGCTGAACCGCTCTGTCAGCCAAAGAAGCTTTTCAAAAGCTTTTCATGGCGTGTGGATGACTGCCTCTGGGTCCCATCAGCTTGACGTTTTATTTTTATTCTCCTCGGAGTCCTTGCTGCTCCCCCTTGTTTCCCATCAATAGGGAGGGTGCTGGGAACAGGAGTCTTTTTCCCACCGGTGCGTGACCATGAGTGCAGGCGCCGAGGGGCCGCTCGAACTATGAGAGAAACCTGCTGGTGTCTTTTCCCCTTCGAGACACACCCAAGGAGGGATGAAGGTTTGGGATCAGAAAGGGACCGACGGATTCACAGCTGGGGGGCCCCGTGGAAAGGAGGCTAGAAGGGGGCTCAGTCTGCTCCCCGGGCTCCCCATCCCCAAAGATGGTTTTTGGCCAACTGCAGGTTGAACCTGGAAAACAGTTCCCTCCTCTACCAACAGACGGACTTTTTTATCATGGGGATTTGGAAAGCGTTCATGATGAAAAGGTTGTGGGGAAGGTTGCTGCTTTTGCACCAAGAAATGTTCAGTGTTTGATCCGATTCCTTATGCCGCCCCAGACGCCTTTCGGCCCAGAGTAGGGGGTTTCTGATGGGCCCATTTCTTTCAGGTGCCTGGGAGAAGCCCATAGGCCTCTAGCAGTCCCCCCCACCGCACCCCCCACCCAAGACTGGTGTGAGTCTGCCTCCTTTGCGGGGGGCAGAAGATGAGGCCATTTGGGGGGGGCAGCTAAGGTTGCGGCTTTTTCAGACACTATTCTGTGGCCAATGCCTTAATGCCTGGCAGGGGGAAAGCCAGCTTGGATCCATGGTGGTAGTGAGCCTGTAGGCTGTCGGAGGAGGGGAGGCTCCCCTGATACCAGGCATCAGCCCAGCCACGGTGTCTGTTTATATAGCAGCTTACATTCCCAGAAACCAGGTATCTCCAGGAACCAGTGGTGCCCAAACTCAACCGTCCCTCCGTCCAGAGGCAACAGAAACAGACTGTTGTCAGAGCTGAGAATGCCCGCTGGGGAGTGTGGCCCTCCTAGCCACACGCCCCCCCGACCCCGGGACCTCTCCAGGGGCAGCCCACCCTGGAGAGCGGTGAGAGAACCTCACGTCCTCCCATTCCCCGGCCCCCCCCAGAGAGCCGTGTGCACCCCATCACGGTAGTAATAGCTGCTGTCTATCGGAAGCTTGCCTTGGGATCAGGCGCCGAGGTAGGCTTTCTAAATGAGCGGTTTCCTTTAAACCTCATCTTCCTCTGCATGGCAGGAAATCCTACACCCATTTTATAAATGAGAAAATGGAGGCTCCTTGGGGCTTAGGAACTCACCCACGTTCACACAAGGACTCCCTGGGCTGGGATCTGAGCTCAGGTCTCCACGACTCTAACTGCAGTTACCCGAGCTGTTCCGCCTTCCTGCCTCCTCACACTCGACGTGCGTATCCGTCCCTTTTGACAGCCAGTCCGAGAGTCTCGATCAGATCCCCAACAATGTGGCCCACGCAACCGAGGGCAAAATGGCCCGTGTGTGTTGGAAGGGGAAGCGTCGCAGCAAAGCCCAGAAGAAACGCAAGAAGAAGAGCTCCAAGTCCCTGGCTCAGGCGGGAGCGGCCTTGGCCAAACCCCTCCCCAGAACCCCGGAGCAGGAGAGCTGCACTGTCCCCGTGCAGGTGAGCCCCGCCAGCGCCCCCCGGACCCCAGGCTCGTGGGGCCTTCGGGACGGTGCCCGTGCCTCAGCCTGGCCCTGTGTATGTACTACCACCTGTGTTTTCCCCCACAGGAGGATGAGTCCCCACTGGGCCCCCCATATGTGAGGAACGCCCTCCAGTTCACCAAGCCTCTAAAGGAGCCAGGCCTCGGCCAACTCTGTTTCAAGAAGCTCGAGGAGGGCCTGCGGCCGGCACTGCCTCGATCAGAACTCCACAAACTGATCAGCCCCTTGCAATGTCTAAATCACGTGTGGAAACTCCACCACCCCCAGGATCTAGGCCCCCTGCCCCAGCCCGCTCACCCCTTCCCCTACAGCAGACTGCCCCATCCCTTCCCGTTCCACCCTCTCCAGCCCTGGAAACCTCATCCCTTAGAGTCCTTCTTCCTAGACAAACTGGCCTGTATAGACAGCCAGCAGCCCCTGTCCGGCCCCCACCTGGGCAAACTGGCCTGTGTGGACGGTCAGAAGCCTGTGCCCGGCCCACACCTGGAGCCCGGCTGCCCGTCCCGGGGCCCGTATGACAAGTTTTCTGTGGAGGAGTACATGGTACACGCCCTGCAAGGCAGTGTGAGCTCAGGCCAGGCCCACAGCCTGGCCAGCCTGGCCAAGACCTGGTCGGCAGGAGGTTTCAAGCCCCAGAAGCCCAGCCCTGAAACGATGGACAGCGAGGGGGTCCTGCTTACAGAGGTAAGCCATCTCCCAAACACAGGTACATGTACCACCCGCTCTGGGGCCCAGAGCAGCAGCCGGCCGTCAGGCAGGACCTGTTCTGGGGGGGGCGAAGCATCACTGGAAACCTGCCAGACCCTTTTTACTTCCCACCTTTGCGGGGAGTCGGGGTGGCGGGGGGGAGTGGGGCGGGGCATAGTCTTCACTCTGTATCGAAGTATCTGTATCGTCATCAGATAGGCGGAAAGTGCTCATCCCTGGCGAGAGGCGGTATCCCCTGCTCCACCTCCAGATCATTCTTCAGGCTTTTTAGATATTTCTGCTTTGAGTTCTTCTGAAGTTATTGCCGAACTTATTAAGTTATTGCTGAAGAGTGTGTGTGTGTGTGTGTGTGTGTGTGTGTGTGTGTGTTGAATGATACACATACTGAGAAAGAGGAATAAGCAAGCATCAACTGCACATGTTCCCTCCTGACCCCTGCTATGAAAGACGAGGATTTTGACCATCTGCATATCCCCCTGGCCTTCCTCTTTCCCTCCAGTGCTCTGCTGGAGAGCTTTATAACTCTAAGATGATTTTACCAGACTTCAATTTCTGGGGTTTATTCCATCTTTGACATGATCCCTTATCCCCCACCCGTCTTCATGGTCTCTTCCCTTTCTTCTACCTTATAGCTTCGGAGCTATACTTTTGGTCAAGGTTGTTGATAGTTCCATTTCTTTAAAGTTTGATTTATTTATTTTGAGAAAGAGGTTGGGGGCCAGGGGTGGGGCAGAGAGAGAGGAGAGAGAATCCCATGCAGGCTCCGCCCTATCAGTGCAGAGCCCCGTGCGGGGCTCAAACCCATGACCTGAGCCAAAGTCAAGAGTCAGACGCTTAACCAGCTGAGCCTCCCAGGCGCCCGACAATTCCATTTGTGTCCCACAACCGCAAGTCTGGGGAGAAGGATCTTTCGCCACAAGGGTCGGCTTAGTTTGGGCAGCCGGTGAGGCTGTCCCCTGCCTTCACTTTATTCCTGTAACTCCCTCTGGTCCTGCCCCTGCAGAGCCCTGCCTCAGACCCGGGGGTGTCTTTGGTGGTGAGGGCTCTGCCCCAGCAGCCTGGCAAGGACGACCAGCCAGAGAGCCTTCCTCACTGTAACCCTTCGTCCCGCCCGCTGCCCTGGTCACTGAAACTGGCTTCTGTCTCCTGCCAACCCCAGAAACTCAAGCCGGTGGATTATGAGTACCGAGAGGAGGTCCACTGGGCCACGCGCCAGCCCTGCCTGGGCAGAGGCTCCTTTGGAGAGGTGCACAGGATGCAGGACAAGCAGACTGGCTTCCAGTGTGCGGTCAAAAAGGTAGGCCCGAAAGAAAAAGGTGCGCCTGGGCTCCGGGGGCTGTAGAGGGAAGCCAGGCAGGTGGCCTGTCGTGTTCCTTCTGCTTTCTTTCAAGGGCAATCACAGGGCAGCCATGGCTCTGGCTTGTTAACAGAGCCTGGCTGTCGCTGGGCACCCTGGGGTCAGCTGGAGCCGGAAGGGAGCAGTCTCGGTCACATGTCCCGGCCTGGGAGCTGCACTTGGTGTGCGTGTGTCAGATGGAGTATGCAAGTGTGCACGCGTCCTGGGCCACTCCTGATGCCGGGGCCCTTAGGGGCAAGTCCAAACCTGGAAGGTGTTGGCTCGTCGTGCAATTCGTGTTGAGCTGAAACCCCTAAACCACATAGTGGGGCTGCTCACGCCTGGGCCAGAAGGTAAAAACCACCACAATAATAACCTGCCCCTAACGGGTGCCTCTTGGACGAGGCCATGCGCTTGGGACGTCAGATCTGATTTCGGTTTGGGCTCTGCCTCCTGCTGGCGGGAATAATAGGTCCTGGGAGGTGGACCTTATGAGGAAATGAGACTTAGCAAGAGACCCAGGCTTGGCTAGCTCCAGAGTCTGGCTACGATCCACTCTGTAGGAAGTGGGCAGGGGAAGAGACTCATGGTCCTGGGAATCGACGGGAGCAGGGGCGTGAATCGCCTCCCCTGCTCCCTCGTTTTCACCAGGGTAGAACCGGGGACCGGAGAAGGTAGCGTGCCTTGTCTAGAACCGTAGAGCTGGGCCTGGAACTGAGGCCTCTTTGTGCCGCAGCAGAACACAGACCTTGGTGCTGGCCCTGCTCCCCTTCAGGTGTCTTTTCTCCTACCCCCACCCTCAGTTCACCTTGACTGGAAGCCACCTTGTCCTCGGCCCAAACTCAGCCTCAGAGCTAGCGCCCAGGACCGCAAGAGGCTGAAATGAGAAACGTTTCGAGGGGCCGTTTTCTTGGCCCGTGACAAAAGGAAATAAGCTAGCTCCCTGGTAGACCTTGTTTTCAAGCAGGTCTTGTCAGGGACCCTCTGCTCCCCCCAAAGGGAAGAGGACCAAAGGCACGCTCAGCCCCGCGGCTGCTTGTGGCTTTCAGCGGTGAGGACGCAAATTGTGATATGAATACCCTGAATACCCTGGCTTCCTTGGCTTGTAGGTGGGCCGGGATGTTACAGTTGGAGAGCTTGGGCCCCCGGGGTGATGGGCTGAGAGGGGGACTATCCATAGGTATTACCCCAAACTTCAGACACACTGTGTCAACGGAGCGGGCCCCACCCCCCCCTCCCCCCGCCGGCCCAGGCACGTGCTGAGTGCCCGCCAGCGTGGGCCGGCATTTCCCACTGGGTGCCAAGGCCATGTGCCCTCCCCAGGCCATCGGAGAAGGCTCAGCTGTCCCTCCTGAAGGCTGGGTGGGAGGAGAGCGAGAGTATGAAGTGTCCTAGAGTCCAGTGCCCAGCGCTAGGGGAGCTTAGTCACTGGGCTTCTCAGCTGTCGCCCTGCTGAGGTTCTCCAGGGTCCCAGGCAACAAGGAAAACAACCCTGATATAGTAGAAGACAGATACTCCATTTCTCACCTCCCCAAGGCAGGCGGAAAAGCTCCAAGCACAACGAGTAGGCTCCCCAGGGCCAGAACTGGCCTCTTCCAGAATCTGCCTCCCCGACCCAAGAGCTCAGTGGGGTGGCTTTGGGGCCGCCCACACAGCTGCCATCGGGTGGGCAGACAGCCCCTTCTTTCTCTCCTTTTTCTGGGGGGGGGGGGCGGGATGTAGAGCAGGCACTGGGGGAGGGGGCAGGGATCAGCGGTCAGAGTGGGTCTGTGCACTCTCCAGTGTTCCCCGAGGAAGATCCAGCATGTGGAACAACAGCACTTCCTTGGTCCTCCTTCGAGAACATCCATGGCCTCGGGTCAGATGCTGACTGGTCACAAGTCCAGGGTTTAACGCACGGGGGTCTGTTCACTTTGTTAAGGCCTTGTTTGATCTTTTAATGGCAAATAAACACAGGCTCATTATAGAAGATTTCAAAGGATACCCCAAAACACAAAAGTCCTTGTTCCCCAATCCCGTTCGCAGAGGCAGCTGCCCTTTGACATCTTTTTAGACTTTTTGTGCATACATAAACATGTAGTTGCTTTTATTAAAACGAGACTACTCTAGAGGCTGTCCTGTGCCATATTTTCCATGTGATCGCATATCGTGGGCACAGTTCCTTATTGGTACCTCCATGTCTCTCTAGTGCTTTTTATCAGCTGACGTAGAAGTTCGTATCCTCGCCAGTGGATGAATTTATAGAACGTGTGAACTCCTGGAACTTTGTTCAATGGTGTATCTGTGTGTGGCACACACATTTTGGATGGGGAAGCGTCCGTTATCATGTATCAGGTGTTAAAGACGTCTGTGGCCCAAAGAGGGTTAAGAACCATTCATTCAAGAACATCTGGCTCCTGCATGGAGTTCTGGGAGCCTCCTTTTGACTCTGCCTCCGATTGGGTTAGTGTGGCCTTGGCCCAACCCAGCCGTTACCAAGCACCTGGTCTGTGCCAGATACGGCGCCAGGGGCTAGAGGCAAAGCTGCGGAATCCACACCCCCGGAAAGGCTCGGCAACGTTGTAATGGGGGATGGACATTTACATGGCATAAAGGTGGTAGAAAGCAGCCGTCAGCAAGGTACACCAGTGAGGGCAGCCTGGACGAGCGCTAAGAAGGGGATCTAGGACTGAGGGGAGAGTATCTCCATGGCGACGAGGAAATGGGGGGACCCCTCTGTTTATTCGACTACAGTGCGCCCAGTACTGTGAGTTACTTTTCACGTATCTTACGTTCCCGGGATCTTTAAAAGAATTTACAGAATTGCTATTTTCCGCGTTTTTACTGATGAAATAAAATGGATACAAATACTGAACAAGAGGGAGAGTTTTAAGAAAGAAAAGTCAATCCCCAGTGTCAGCATGCAGGCAGTTAAGCGGGGGAAGTGGCTTGTGGACTTGGCAGTCAGGGGATTGCTGACCGCGCTCCCACCTACACGCTCCCAAATGTACGTGAGAACGTCCTGGATGTAAGAGCTGATACTCCTGGGAAGGCCTTCAGTGAGGCGGGGCAGCTGGCACCCCAGAGTCAGGCTTCCCCAACCAAAACCCCACCTCTGAGACTTCCTGCCAGTGACCTTGGGCAAGTTATTTGTCCAGACTCTAGCTTCCTCGTCTGTAAATTGGAGATAATGAGAATACCACCCCATAGGCTATTGTAAGATGTAAATAACGAATGCTCATAAAGTGCTTAGAATGGTGCCTCGCATGTGTTCAGTGGGCAGTGAATATTAGTTTTCGTGAACACCCTCACCATAGTCCAGCCCCTTGCTTTAACAGATGAGGACCCTGAGGTCCAGGGAGGAGAGGTGGGCCAGCTGGGCGGCCGTGTGCTTTCTCTCCAGCTGCCCCGCTCGGGACTGCCCTTTCTGCTTGCTCTCCCTGGGGCTGGCACAGACTTCTAAATCACCTTGTGTTTTGGAGTGTCCCCTCTGACCCGCCCCACCCGGGTCTGGGTGAGAATTGAAAAAAAATTTTTTTTAAGATTTTCATTTTTATTTTTCTTAATTTTTTTTGAATGTTTATTTTTGAGAGAGAGACACAGACATAGTGTGAGCAGGGAAGGGGCAGAGAGAGAGAGAGAGAGAGGGAGACTCGGAATCTGAAGTGGACTCCAGGCTCTGAGCTGTCAGCACAGAGCCCAAGGCAGGGCTCACAAACCATGAGATCATGACCTAGCCAAAGTCAGACACTTAACCGACTGAGCCACCCAGGCGCCCCCTAAAGATTCTTATTTTTAAGTAATTTCTACACCTAGCGTGGCTTGAACTTAACAACTCTGAGATCAAGAGTCATGGGCTGTACTGACTGAGCCAGCCAGGTGCCCCTGGGTGAGAATGTTCTCAACATTACTGGAATACTCCAGAGGACTTATGGATTTCTTAAAAGTTAGGGCAGAGGTTCCCAGCCTTTCTTGGTTTGCAGCCCTTAGTGTCAGTAATTTTTCATGACACCCCAGGCCAAAACAAATACCTAAAAGTTCCGTTTATTAAAGTAATTAGGTCAAATAATAGTGTTTTTCCTAACAACTTAGTAGTCATTTGAATAACAATACACATAAGTTGAAAGGAAATTTCCTTCTGTTCTTAATCATAACTACTAACGGGATGTATGCCTCGTTGGGCACTGCACAACTTCTCAAAATTTTGAAATCAGATCAGACATCCTCAGCTTCATATCCTGCTTCCTATCCCCCACCAAAGTACTTGTATCCCGGCAAGCTCCAAAAACCTAGCTTCGTAAAGATACATGGAAAGAATGGAGCGCAAGCTAATGTTGAAACTGAACTATCTTGAGGAGTAATTTACGCGGTGTCCCACAGACAGCCATCATCCCTGCTCCCCTCAAAAGTAAAACATCTTGGGGGCGCCTGGGTGGCCCAGTCGGTGAAGTGTCTGACTCTTGGTTTCGGCTCAGGTCATGAGCTCACGGTTTCGTGAGTTCAAGCCCCGTCTGGCCTCTGCGCTGGCAGCGTGGAGCCTGCTTCGGAGGATTCTCTGCCCCTCTCCCCCTCGTGCTCTCTCTGTCTCTCTCAAAATAAATAAACTAGAAAGAAAGAAAGAAAGAGAGAGAGAGAGAGAGAAAGAAAGAAAAAAGAAAAAGAAAGAAAGAAAGAAAGAAAGAAAGAAAGAAAGAAAGAAAAAGAAAGAAAGAAAAACATTCTGCAGCACCCTGCCAAGTCCTCTGGGGTGCCCCAAACTGCTTCAGCTCCGTTTGGGAGCCCGAGAGTTAAAGACCTTTGCTAGTATGAGTCCTGATGGTGAATTCATTCCAACTCAGGTTCAGAGCTGGAAACGCTGACAAAGAGTCAAAATTTCTGCAAGTTGATTAACCAGACCAGATACTCTGTAACCAGAAGAGAGACATTTTCCACTGATAGGCAAAAGTCCAAAAGCCCCACATCGTCAGGGCTCCTGCCAAGTCAGCATGTCTCCAAGCCAGACTGCCAGGTCCTGAGTGATTTCTTCCAGGCTGGTTTTGTTGCCACCGGCGCCCCCTGGTGGTACCTGTTAAGACTAACAGGAGAACCAGCGGCAACCGGAAAGGAGAGGACAAGTGTCTGTTAGGACTTCTAAGTGTTTAATAAGTTGCTCTTATATGAGCTGGAGGGAGGAAGGGGGCAGCTAACATTTCCTGAGCACCCGCTGGTTGCGAGGCCTAGTGCTGGGTTATCATCCCTCCAAATCCTCACTCTACGCGGGAGCAGATGACACTGTCATCACCGTTTGCACATGGAAACACAGCTTAAGGGACACACTCTACCTTTGGAAATGGCCAAGCCAGAGTCTCAGTCTAGGATGATTGTATCCTAGGCCTGTTTCTTCCCTCCTTGCTGTGCTCATCCCTACACAAAGGAGTGGGTGGTCCCTATGGGAGGGACCTTGGCCAAACCCCTCCCGTTAGAAGCCTCCTTTTGCCCAGATCCTGGGGAAACAGCTGCAAACAGAATAAACAGGCACTGCTCCGTCTACATGGGCACTTTAGCCTTCAGGGGAAAGACAAATAATTACGAGCTGAGAAAAGTGCTGAGGATCAGAGGCACTGACAGAGCCAGGATCCTTGGCTGCCATCGGCTCTGGCTACAGATAAGATGGAAACCCAGCCTCTGAAGAGTAGACGTGGATGTTGATAAACAGAAGGTCTCATGTCCTCGAAATGGCCCAGACATTTGGGCTGGGGCAAAAAAAAAGTTCTGTGTTTGGCAGATTTGAGGGTGGGCAGCGTGCCAGGAGCCTGGATAAGGGCTGTAGTCTTTGTGATTCCACACACATCAGCAGTGCAGAATTTTAACCAAGCACTGGATGTTGAACCTGACCCCCCAGGGTATACAGTTTAGTCTCTGTGGCTCCAGTAGGCCCACCAGGGCCCTGCCTGGCCTCAGAATCGTCACTGGGAACATCAGCAGTCTCTGTGCAGGGGCACTGGGGAACCAGCCCTTGTCCCTCACCCTGACTCACAGCTACCTCTGCGCCCTGCCAGGTGCGCATTGAAGTGTTTCGGGCAGAGGAGTTGATGGCATGTGCAGGATTGACCTCACCCAGAATCGTCCCTCTGTATGGAGCTGTGAAGGAAGGTCCTTGGGTCAACATCTTCATGGAACTCTTAGAAGGTAAGGAGCCAGGTTCAGAGCCAAGGGTTGACCTTGGTCCCCAGTTATTCCATTTTTAATCTCTTGACCCTGTGACATCAGCCGAAAAGGCCTACTTTCCACCACCTGCCCTTTGAAGGCCTTTGCCCGTGGCCTGCTTGCAGGCCTGGAAATGCACCATGTAAAGACTGGCTGTTGGTCTCCTAGGTGGCTCGCTGGGCCAGCTCATAAAGCAGAAGGGCTGTCTGCCGGAGGACCGGGCCCTTTACTACCTAGGCCAGGCTCTGGAAGGGCTGGAGTACCTTCACACCCGAAGGATTCTGCACGGAGATATCAAAGGTGAGGCTTGTGCCCCCACCGCCCTGGTCCCCAGCGGCCTCCTCCTTCCTTATCTCAACCTGCCTGACTTCCTCCCAGATCTTCTGGGCCTGCCTGACCGTCCCCAGTGGCAGGTCCCACGTCAGGCTGGCAGGGCTGTGCTGGCAGGAGGGGGAAGTGTGTTCCCCAGGCCCTTAGCCCGGCACCCTAGTTGCCAGTGGGCAGTGCCTGCAGAGAACTGCAGATGGAGTTCCTAGGCACTGGTGACCACTGGGGGAGGGTGGGGGCAGCAGAGCTGAGTGGCAGTGTCCCAGGAGTAAACTGTCCCCAGACCTCAGAGATCCGCCTGCTCCCTGCCTCTAGCCCGAACTGATAAACCTCCTCCCTTCCTTATGACTAATAAAACTAATCAGAAGCAGGCAGCTGTCATGTAGGGTCAGCCAGAAACTGCCTCCCTGGAGGTCCAGATGGGGCTGGGGCCTGGAGTGACTCACCTGTTCCTCTTCTTCTCTGGGGTGGCCTGGCAGCTGACAATGTGCTCCTGTCCAGCGATGGGAGCCGTGCAGCCCTCTGTGACTTCGGCCATGCTGTGTGCCTTCAACCCGATGGCCTGGGGAAGTCCTTGCTCACGGGTAAGCCCCGCCTCCTGCCTCCCTCCCCCACGATGACAGTCACCACTAGCCTTCACGAAGCATTAGCCTTCTCCTGTGCTTTCTGTAATAGCGGTCAGAAGTGTGAACCCTTTTTGTTCACAGTATTTCAGCCCATCAACAACCCTAGGTTAGCAGAAAGCTTTTGTTACGCTTAAATGCAAAAATGAGTATCAGGTCCTCGTTTCTGATATTCCTGCTACACAGAGAAGGGAACGGAAAGGCTGGCCGCCTCTCATCCAGCCTTTTCTGGGTGGCTCGGCTCCCAGCCTGTGGCCTCAGCCGTCCTGGGCCTCTGAGCAGTTTCTGGAAGCACAACACGAGGGCTGACCAAGAGGCCTGGGCTCTGTAGCTGGAGAAGCATCTGTTTTTAACTTAAATCTTCTGATTAGTAAAGTAATCCACATCCATTGTGACATATTTAGCAACTACAGAGTGAACTGGTGTAGAAGAGGAGGGAAAAAGGAGCTACCCTGTTCCTCTTGCCCAGAGACATAATCACAAACATTGTAGATCACTCCTTCCATCTCCTTTTTTTCTTCCTGTACCTCGTTAAGGCCATTATAACACAATTCTGCTCTTTTTTCATTTATAGCGTTCTGCATAAGGTTATTTCCTCTTGACCAAAGGAAAATCAACCTCTTATTTATTGAGAGAGAGAGCAGGGAAAGGGCAGAGGGAGAGAATCCCAAGCAGGCTCCACAGTGTCAGCGCAGAGCCCCATGTGGGGCTCAAACCCACGAACTGCAAGATCATGACCTGAGCCGAAACCATGAGTCAGACGCCCAACCGAGCCACCCCGGCACCCTAGGCAAAAACCTTTTAGAAGTGATTCTCTGACAGGGCACCTGGGTGGCTCTCAGTTAAGTGCCAGACTTCGGCTCCGGTCATGATCTCATGGTTTGTGGGTGCCAGCCCCGTGTCAGGCTGTGTGCTGACAGCTCAGCGCCTGGGGCCTGCTTCAGATTCTGTGTCTCCCTCTCTCTCTATATCTGCCCCTCCTCTGCTCACCCTCTCTCTCTCAAAAATAAAAAGCATTAAAATTTTTTTTAAGTGATTCTCTATCATTAGAGGACTATCTTGGTCATTCTGAAGATGTATATTGAAAACAGACACCTGCCTGTATTATGAAAATAATTTCTTTTCTAAAACCTTTTGCAGAAAGTAGAACTAAGCAAAAATAAAAAATACAGATCACCAGAGTGGGGGAAACAACTTCCTATCTGGTATCGATCCTTCTAGTCTGCCTAGAAGTTTGTTTGGTTGTTTTTTTGTTTTTGTTTTTTTCACTTGCTAACATTGCAGGAACATCATAACCATTAATTAGTCTCCTGCCACATAATTTCGAATGCCCAGGCCCCTCCCCAGTGTTAAAAAGCACTCTAAGAGTTTGGGCCAATGGGTAGAGCCCATATTTTGGGTGATGCCTTCTTTGTGCCAGTCTCCAGGGGAGCCCCTGACTTAGCTCATCCCCGGCAGATTTGAGCTGGAGGCTTTCTCTCTACTCGAGGCCCGTTAACAGAGACAAATTCAAGGTATCCCGGGAATTGACTGGTGTGGTCACTGCCAAGGCTCTTGCCCCCCAGAGTTCACGGTTGGCTTTTCTGCCTCACCTCACCCCTCAGGGGACTACATCCCTGGCACAGAGACCCACATGGCTCCAGAGGTGGTGATGGGCAAGCCCTGTGATGCCAAGGTGGACGTGTGGAGCAGCTGCTGTATGATGCTTCACATGCTCAACGGCTGCCACCCTTGGACCCAGTACTTCAGAGGGCCACTGTGCCTCAAGGTCAGTGACAGCATGCGGGAGGGCCAGGAGGCTCACGGGCCCGGGGCTGCAGACTTGGGGCGGTCCCCATTTTGGCTGCTCTTCCGTGGCCGATGGGAACAGGAAGAGGCCTCATCGTAAACGTGGGAGCCTCACTAAAACACTTGCCACCCAGATCGGTGGGCCCAAGGGGACATCCCAGGTGAGGGATCTCCTTAGGTTCATGGCAGGTCAGGGCTGTCTTCCACTCGTACGCTGGGTGCTGGGAAGTGAGCGTTGCCTTCTGACCCACAGATTGCCAGTGAGCCGCCGCCTGTGAGGGAGATCCCACCGTCCTGTGCCCCTCTCACGGCCCAGGCCATCCAGGAGGGGCTAAGGAAAGAGCCTGGGCACCGCGCGTCCGCAGTGGAGCTGTGGAGGAAGGTCAGCCTGGCCCTGCAGCATGGTAAGAACCCCACACTGGCTGCAGGGGTGAGAGAGTCAACACGGCCCATACCGACCCAGCACCAAAGAGATTCTCGCCGGGACATGCCGGAGGGCCCGCACTGCAGGGTCGTTTGCAGGAGAGGAGTAGGCTCAGTGGCGGGTCCCTTGCTGGGAGACTGGAAAGGCCAGAGGCAAGGGTGGTGGGCAGGGTGGGCCCCATGGAGCACCACGCAGCAGTTAAAGCAACCCAGTGGCGCAGAGCAACCTGGCTGGATTTTGAAACCGTGGTGCGCTGGGCAAAAAGGAGACGGACAGAGCGAGGCCTAGAACACAATACCTTTTTTGTAAACGAGATATTGAAAAATAAAAACAACACACAGTTTGCAAGAACACGATCGAACCCAAAGTGACACAGCAAATATAATAGAAGGTCGCGGGGGTGGGGGGGAGGGGGGAGGCGGTGCAGGGGAGAGGCAGTGGTTATGGGAATGAAAGGGGAATACATAAAACAGGAGAGAGATTCTGAATGCCCCCCCACAAAACATAGATGAACTGCCCCCCCCCCCGACACTCCAGAGAAAGCGTGGAGTGTGGGGAAGAAGGGGTAAGAGAGATGGGGGCGGGGCGGGGCGGGTGGTCAAGGAGGCCAGCGTACATGGGAACTCAAAGTTGGTGTTACCTCAGAGCTGTTTTTAAATCTTTACCATTTACAAAGTCCTTCTCTGGAGCCAATTCTGGCATTTTTAAATTTGTGATGGTTACCTAGAAGGAAAATAGAATAAAAGACAGAAATACCATCCTGCTGCCACTGTGGGAGGCCGTCTTACGGAAGAGGCCGCCTCCGAGACCTCAGCGTCCCCTAGTGGGGCAAGGGCCCTCCGTCACTGCTTGCCTCCAGCCCTCTGCTCGGGAAGGGCCACCTGGCCGGGCCTGTTTCCACCTCACCGCCTGTGCTCTGTTTTGTAGTGGGAGGTCTGAGGAGCCCTTGGAGGGGAGAGTATAAAGAGCCAAGACATCCGCCGCCACACCAAGCCCATCCGCCGCCCAGCCAAGGCCACTCTCCCCGGACGCCACAGGCCCAACCGAGGGAGCTCTCACCTGGGGCTCCGGGGCCCCAGCCAACCGAGGACACGACAGGCGGGGCCCCTAAGCTCCAGCCTCCTCTACCCCCAGAACCCCCAGAGCGGAACAAGTCTCCAAGCCTGAACTGGGGCAAGGAGGAGTCTGGAACATGGGAACCATTACCTCTGTCCTCCCTGGACCCGGCCCCTGCCAAAAACCCCAGCTCGGCGGAGCGGAAGGCGACCTTCCCAGAACAGGAGCTGCAACAACTGGAAATAGGTATGGGCGGCCACGGCTGCGACCTCTGGGTCCCCGCGCACAGACCTGGGCCTCCCCCAAGGCCCGGGGTTCATCCCCTGCGCAGCCAGCGTGGGCTCTCTTCTAGGCCCTTCCCTCAGAGGTCAGCTCCTGCGGTCCGTGCAGCCCCACACACAGCTGGGCCGGGCCACTCCCGGTCTTCCACAGCCATCCTCTGCCTTCCTCTCCAGAACTATTTCTGAACAGCCTGTCCCAGCCGTTTTCACTGGAGGAGCAGGAGCAGATTCTCTCGTGCCTCAGCGTCGACAGCCTCTCTCTGTCAGACGACAGCGAGAAGGTAAGCCGGCCGGGGACCCAGGGCCGGGGCACGGAGCTTTGTGTCCAGCTGGTGAAGGGGCTGTGTGCAAGTAGCGGCGAAGGGAGGCTGGTGGGGGGTCACCCCTTCCTTTTGGAAGGGCTCCCCACCGGGGCAGGGTGTCACGCTTGCTCAGGATGAGCCAATCCGTCTCCAACGCACCTGGGGAACTGGGGAACCGTTTGGCTACTCGCGATTGTGGGGATGGAGATTTGGGCTTGGGGCCCCCTAGAAGCACTCTTCACCCCCCACTCCAGACCCCAGCTTAGCCCCAAAAGTGCCCAGTGGGGCCACGCTCCAGCCCGGGACACGAGCGGTTCCTCGCCCCCGAGCCCTTCCACCCCAAGCCCCATCAAGGCCACAGATGGTTCCCCAAGCCCAGGGGCCTAAGTTGTGCCCCCTCTTGTTTCAGAACCCGTCAAAGGCCTCTCAGAGCTCGCGGGACACCCTGAGTTCCGGTGTGCACTCATGGAGCAGCCAGGCAGAGGCTCGCAGCTCCAGCTGGAACATGGTGCTGGCACGGGGACGGCCCACCGACACTCCAAGCTATTTCAATGGTACACCCCAATACTTGCCTGCCCAGCTGCCCCCACAGCACCTGATCGGCCTGCGACGAGGGAGTCCGAGGCAGTTTATGTCCCCCTTCTCCTGGCGCAGTGGGGGAAGGGAGAGGAAGGCACCGGGCGCCCAGACTGGAGGAGCCTGGCCACGAAGTCGGTCTAGAGCAAAGGCCCTGATTGCCCCAGAGCCTTCCTTGGTGGGGCAGTCAGTGAAGGACCTGGCCCCTCATGGGTTGCCGATGGAGTTCTAGAAGGCCCCTACTGTGGGGCACAGAGCGGTCTCTCCTGGCCTAGCATCAAGAAGTAAATAATGCCTTCCAAGGGGAACGGGAGGAACGAGGCCTTATGAGCATTTAAAAAAAATTTTTTTTAATGTTTACTTATAATTTTTGAGAGAGAGAGAGAGAGCACAGGTGGCAGGGGGGCAGAGAGAGAGAGGGAGACACAGAATCCAAAGTAGGCTCCAGGCTCTGGGCTGTCGGCACAGAGCCTGACGTGGGGCTCGAACTCACGAACCGGGAGATCATGACCTGAGCCGAAGTCGGCCGCTTAACCGACTGAGCCACCCAGGTGCCCCGACCTCGTGAGCATTTTGATCGAGAACTCCGCAACAAGTTTGCTGGGATCCTCCTCTGGGATTTAAAGTCATTAAGACAAGAAAGAAAACATACATGGACTTGTTTTCAAGGGTGGCTGCGTAGGCTATGTCGTGATTTTGATAGAACGAGGGTTTCATCAGCTCCCGCTCTTACCAGGGCCGGTGTGACACATGGCATCAAGCCCCCGTGGCCTGGCCGACGGCTGTCCCAACTGAGGGGACATTACAGCCTAAGTTGCCCACAATCTAATTTAAGAGTCTCTGTTTCCACTTCCTTTTTGCTTTGTGTGCAGGTTGGAATACTAGTTCCCCATAAGAGCCAACCTTAGCTCTTTGCATTGTGCAGGCCAAATTCTAGATGTTGACAGAAAATTACCAGGAAGAGCTAGCAGGCGTAGAACATTAGGGCCACTCCAGCCTAAATGTCACATCGGCTTCCTCACAGCCATCCTGCGTCCCTCTCCGTGGGGCTCCTTACAGAGAGCCAGCAGCCACTCTCCTGACGGTCACCTTGCCTGCCTTCTAGGTGTGAAAATCCAAATACAGTCTCTCAACGGCGAACACCTGCACATCCGGGAGTTTCACCGGGTCAAGGTGGGGGACATCGCAACAGGCATCAGCAGTCAGGTAAGGGGACAGGTGCACACTTAAGAGGCAGAGTCCCAGAAGTCAGTGTACCTGGCCCAGCCCTCCAGGGGGAAGGCTTTTGAATAAGTAGAAATGGCACTGTAGGGAATAGTTGACTTCGGTTATCCCCCAAGGGCTCAGGGCAAGCCCCCCAGTGGTGACTGAGGGGTCCCCAGGACCTACCCTTGGGCTGGTTGAGATTCTCCAGAAAGAAAGACAAGAGTATGCCTTCGGGACAACCCACCTGGCTGGAGAGAGACCTCCGCTTTGCACTTCTGGGCAGCCCCCAAACCCCATGCTGCTGTCTCAGGCCTGCTGGTTTGCTCTGCCCCCAGATCCCAGCCGCAGCCTTCAGCTTGGTGACCAAGGACGGGCGGCCCGTGCGCTATGACATGGAGGTGCCAGACTCGGGCATCGACCTGCAGTGCACCCTGGCCCCTGATGGCAGCTTTGCCTGGAGCTGGAGGGTCAAGCATGGCCACCTGGAGAACAGGCCCTAACCCAGCCTTCCACCACTGGCTCCGCTCCACCGGAAGCGGCCTGCCTTCTTGGTGTCAGTGCCGCCCCCGACACACGGGCTCAGCCTGCTCCCGGGGACCTGCCATCCTGTGGCTTCACTGGTGGGACTAGGGGTGAGCAGAATGCCTCCCAGGATCTGCTGTGTCCTGCCTGACCCTGCCAAGAGAACGCCCGGTGCCCACGTGAGGAGGAGGAAGGAGGCAGGAGGCCGCTCCCCATGGGGAGCCAAAAGGGTCTTCTCTGCTCTGGTCCAAACAAGCTGGCCTGACCTGCTTAGATCAGTGACCACTTGCTGGCAATCAGGATAGAGCAGCTTCCGGCCTGGGTCAGGGAGGGGTGGGCGAGCCCCTCAGCCTCCAAGCAGGTGTGAGGGTGTCGAGTGTCCCAGGACCCACACCCAGGTCCAATGCAGGAGCGGGACGGCAGGCGTACCCACCCCCGGATTAGCAGGGAGCCCTCTGACCCCCTTGCCTGGCCATCGAACCCCCCTTTAGACCTAGCAGCTTTTCTGCCAGAGTCAGGGAGGGAGGAAGGCCGGACACTGGAAGTCTCCCAGGGAGAACATGCTCGTCATGTTGTTGCAGCATAGGTCCTGAGCCGAACTCCGCTTCAGCCAAGGACCAGAGGTGTCTTAAGTGAAATGGTTCTCAGTCCCCAAGCACATGTCCCTTTGCCGCCGGCCACCAGTCTTCCCCAGAGCAGCAGGCTCTGAGCCCCAGCACTGCTCCCGGCTGGCTGGCACTCAGCCCCCTCATCTGTCAAAGTGAAGGGCGAAGGGAGCCCTACCCGGCAGGAGCCGTCTGGAGCTGGGGTGTGGCAGATGTGTGAGAAAGCAGCAGCCGCAGGCACCCCCCCATCCACCCCACCCCACCCCCCATTCCTCCCGGCCACGGCTTGGAACATCATGCACACCAGCTTCCTGAGACACAGCCCCGGCATCACACTCACACCAGCCCCGCCCTGCCCCTCGTCCAGGGACAATTTGCCAACTGCACTTTGCACTCTGATGACCTCAAAGCACTTTCACGGCTGCCCTCCAGGAGGGCAGGTCAGTGGCTCTGCACGCGCTAAAGCAGGCCAGGAGATGGGGTGAAGGGATTCAAGTCTTGATCTGTCTTTACGCGCACGACCCCTCAAACCTCCGTTTTTCTTTAAGATGAGCCCCACCCCCCACCCCGTTGCCCCAGCCTTGTCTTTTCGTCAGTGGGGGTGCTGATCAGGACTCATGTAGCATTAATCAACTGTGAATCATTGTGTGGGGGCCTGCCAGCCTCCCCTTCTGGGGGTGAGGGGTGGCCCCTGAGAGCCCTCCTTGGGAGAAGCTCGTCCCCGTGTCTTGCCAAGGCGGCGTCTGTCCAGCTATCCACATCGAGCCATTCTCCTCCCCATGGAGGGACCCCGAGCCCCCAGGACGTGAAGATCTCCAGCCTTGGTACCGCAGAGTTCAGGTTGTAGAGAACTCTTTGTAAGCAATAAAGTTTGGGGTGATGACAAGCGTGTTAGGCCGTGGCTGTCCCCACTCTCACCTGCCTACTTACAGAACCTACTTTACAGATCCTAACCGCTGCCTCCCTTTGCCTTCTTGGTGGGATCTTCCCAGGTCTGCCCTTTATTGTGGGCAAGGACTGTTTTCAACCCTTGAGCGAGGTCACTCTTCCCCCTTCCCCCTCCCAGTGGGAGCTTCCAGGCCTCCTTTTGGCCTATCTATTCAGACCAGTTAGGCAAGATGCCCCACCTGGTGGCAGTAGGGAAGTCCCTGGCCTGACATGGATGGGGGGGGGGAGCGGGGGAACCAGGAGCCCAGAACAAAGACTGCCCCACCCACTCCTGTCCCTGAGGCCTGGCTTCCAGGGAACAGAACCGGGAGCAGCCTAGACTCCCAGCCCTGAGTGACCAGAGTTGACTTGCCAGGAGTGGGCTCCTGTCTGAGGATGAATTCCAACCCCCCCCCCCC